AGGGAGGAGGGCACAGGTCGGGTTCCTTTCGCCCGAGGTTCTTCCTTCCTTGACAGGGTCCAGGTGGGGAGCTGTCCTTTTCAGCACCATTTGGTTCTACTGGTACGATCCCCACTCATCCCAGAGCAAAGATTCCCGCAGAAACAGTCACCTCTGAGGGAAATTGGATCAAGGCAACCAAAGACCTGGCCACCCACCTTTCAGCCTCAATCCAGAGAGTCCTCCCTTTCAAATGTCCTATTTTGTAAAGAGTCTAGTGATGTTCCAGCTATTTATACCCTTTGAATACCAATTGCCCTCAAGCTTTGATCTGAAAAAGCACCTAGTTCCCCACCGCAGAAACCATCTTCTGCCCCACATGATCAAACGACGACCTTCTAAAAAGTTGATATATGCTTCTCATCCTCCAAAATTCACAGGCTCTGCCACAACATAGTTGCAGCTGCTTTTCCTGTAATGTGAATTCAAAGAGCCAGTCATTTCCTCCTTCAGACAGAAAACTTTGCAACATAAACTGGGTCATCTGGCTCAACATTATCTAGACAAATTGGTAGCATCTCAGCTAGGCATACCTGCATGGGTCAGAAATGGAACCTATAATCTGCTTCATGCAAAGCGTATACTTCCCTTTCTTTCCAAAAAACACAACAAAAGTCTAGGAAAGAACCCAACATAGCAAAGACCATGGCTGATCCAGCTGAAATTGACTAGAAGGTTGAAATGGTCAAAATACAATTTTGTCACGATAGCACCACTGGAGAGCTCAAACTGATAAAAATAATTCAATTTGTACTTTTCCACCAAAGAAGAAATAAAAAGCTAAGTTCCCAACTTCAGTTGCCAGATGCAAATGTTCAAGGATGACACCAAGTCCCTTTTCTTCATATTCAATACATAAAGTAGTGAAGAAGGTGACTTCTTCTTTCCAGTCTACATTGGGCTGGAAGATACATTCATACCTATATCAGGTACTTAAAAAACTAATCTTAAGTGCTAGTTACCAGAACCCAAGATATGAAAATATACCATTTAATTTCAGCCAAATTCTAACCAATCTAACTTATTTCACAAACAGAACTAAAGCCGTGGAGTAGGCTGATGGTACAATGGAATGTTTTGGCAGACCTCTTAGCATTTTGCAGTAAATCAACACATTTTCAGTTCCCCGCTTTTCAGTGTTAATCATATTAACCTAAATCCTGTTGCTGATATCAAGTAAGGGTAATTGTGGAATTCTTAGCAGCAAATTATGTTGTCCATTAACAAAGTGCTGAATCAATTATTGGTATGTGCCTGAGTGGACACACACAGAGGAATGCAGCCAGTATCTAATGAACAACAGTTTGCTACCGAGACTTCCACTTTCTCTTATAAAAGTATCAATTGGCAATAGGATTACGGCCAAAGTTGTTCCGTATTTTTCTGTGAAATGATTATGAGCTCACTTCTGTTTTGATAATGAAAGCACATCCCTAGACTCAAAATGTACAGAATGATGTAACACATTCTTAATTCTTAGGATTGAATTGTAAGCAAAAGTCACAGTAGGACCACAGCAGAGGAGAAAGAGTTCAAGACCTCTAGTCCCATGTTTGTATCTTGATCAGGTCCTCTATGCTTAATTCTGAGTAAGATGATACAAAACAGACATAGTTGTATGTAATATGCAAAAAGTTAAGATGTCTTTGCAGCTTAAGTGTATGCATTTTGCACATCTTTTGGGTGCACAGACCTTGGGATTCTAATAAAAAAATAGATGTGACATCCCCCATCCCCAAACTACAGTATAGCGTATAGCTTAGAAGAATACAAATTGGTCTATTGCTGTCATTCTCCAGGAACACTAGTGTAACCACAAGAGAACCAACATTGAACCTAGCTATTCTCTCAGTGTGATCAATTCCAGATATTTAAATAGACATGCACACACTCTAAGCTTGTTTAGTCAAGTTAAAAATTACAGACCTTAAATAGCTTGCTGTGGGCATAATATGTGTGTAAGGTTGTGGATACTGAACCTTTTTAGTTCAAAATTTAAATTACCCAAGCCTGATAACAGCAGCAAAGAACTAAAGCCACGATAGCAGGAAAAAACAAACATACCGTACACATGGAAGTAGTAAGTGACAGTGAACATTACAATGAAAATGATATATTGACAAGATCCAATGAAATGATTCCGTGCTCAGAGCACCAAACACAAAATCTTAGGGAGTGAGCATGCAAGTGGTCATGTCCTAGTGTTTTTTTGTTACTGGGCAGGATCATATAAGCATACAGCAGGGGTAGTAAATCTCTGGTACTCCAGAGTTTTTTGGATCTCAATTCCCCAAATCCCCAGTCTATACTGCCATTGATAAAGGACTCTGGGAGTTGCAGTGCCCAAAATCTGGGGTGTCAAAGGTTCATCACCCTAGCATAGAGAATCCTTTAGATATTCTAGTTTCAAGCCATGAAGATCTTACAAATGTAGAAGACAACCAGCACCTTGGCTGGAATCCTATTGAGTAACCTAATGTTACACACTTGGTAGATCCAGTCACACCAAAGAAGGAGTGCTATTCATACAGCATTTCTGCAGGCACTTTGCATAATCGGCTGCTAGGGCATAACACTGAGCACATGATGCAGGCATGCTATGATACACATAGACAAATGGGATTTCAGCCATAGAATCAAACCAAGAAAATGGTTAATATTTGATTTTTTTAAAAGAAGTTATATAATATAGAAACCTGACCATGGTCAGAAGCATAGTTCTATTCTACATATACATTTTAAAATAAAAATTATAGTACAACTTCATCCCACAAAGATTTGAGAGTGAATTTGGATCAAAGAAATCTTAATCTAAAAGATAAAATCAACACAAGCTCAAAACTGGTAGTCAACACTGAAAATACAAATTCAAATTATATAATTCTGTATTTTTGACATATTTCTAAAATATTTGTGCAAATAAGGAGATATTTTGACCATGCAGCTTAAAAAAAAAACAATCTTGGCACCAGGCAAATGTGTGTCAGAGAACAACCCAGAGTCAGGGCAATATCACAAGGGAGCCTGCTCTTCTGCTGGCAATACTTCTTATATAAAATAAACACAGTGAAGAGACCACTCTGATTACCTGAATGCAGACAACAAGCTTGGGGTCAAGATATCTGGAAGCGCACCTTTGGAATATCAGAAAAAACTGCAGTGAAAGACCAAAGTTTCTATCATTTATTGGTCATCAATATTTCATAGTAATGTGCATCGAGAAGTAATTTCATCCTCATCTTTTCAGAATGAAACACCAGAAAATGACCATGAAGCGACACATCTTTGGACTCCCTTAGAATAGAAACTTTTAAAAATATATCTGTGACAAACATGTTTTGTTCATAGACATCCTCATCTTCACGGCTGTATCCAGAATGTAGAGTTTAAGTGCCATTTTTAAAAAAAGGGGATGTCTTGTAGTGCCACTGAACTTGCCTCATTCAAGACAGCCATCCAGAAGTGAAACAGTATCTTCAAAACCCCAAGAGAGGATGTTGTATTAAATACGTCTTGAAGAACTTAAATTATGTTTAGCATGCCTGTCCAGAGCTCTGAAACACACATGGAGCCAAACAGAAGGAATATTCTCCTAATCTTCTGAAGCCACTGAAACTTCACATGCTTTTGTGTTGTGTACATACAGAGGCACCCTGGTCTTTCAAACTGGCATGTTTCTATCATTTCATTCAAAGAACATAGGAATGAAAAACAAACCAGTGGCTCAAATCCTGTTCTTTAGTATAAGCCAAATGGTAACTTTCAGTTCATTCCTCCCTGCCATGACTCTGGAAGGTACATGTGCATGCTAGCTTGGTGTGTATTCACATGTACCCCAAAAATCACAATGGGCTGCTTTTTTTTAAATCAGAAAGGGACAGACCAAAAGTTCCTATTTGGCTTGTGCTAAGCAACAGGATTTCACCACTACATTTCTACATTAATTGAGAACAAAGATAATGTTCTTTAGAAGGTGATGGTTTCTTTCAAAACATGCATTTTCCTTGTGTGCATACAACAGGGTCTTGTCATTCTCTCAATAGGAGCTTCCTGCATGGTATTGCACTTGGGTATATAGAATGCTAGGGAATTTCTTGACCCTAATACAAAAATGCTGCCATTTGATAAGGTTGAATGAAAGCCCTACTGCATGCACAAACCTTTGTACGTACATAAAATTTAAGGCTGTCTGTTTTAAGAACTAATTCCATACCAAAATATATTTTGTTCTGTTAGCTTTAACCAACAGTCAACTAAGGAAGCATAGACTTATTTCAGTTGTCATACTCCCAACCACAGATTGGATAATAACCAGACATATAAAGGAGGTAAAGCACAGGTGGAGAACGCATGGCCCATGTTGTTGGATTCAGATACCCATCAGCGCCAGTTGGCATGTCAAAAGTTTAGGGATACTGGGAGCAGTTGTCCACCAATATTTAAAGACTTGCAGGTTCCTCAAATCCAAGTCAAGTCTTGGTATATGTTTACAAAGAACACACATACAAAACTTATATTCCCATGGTCAAGTTAATCCCTCTAGGCAGCAGCTAAAGCATTTGTGACTTGTCTCAGGTCCTTCTGGTTCCCTGCCCTCCTCCATCTATGCTCAGTCCTACAAACTCTTTCTTGTCACGCAGATACCACAGCCAATTTTTCTAAGAAGTCCATTCTTTTGTTCTCCAGGGCCTCCAAAAACCCCTGGATTCTCTCCTCTCGCTGAGCTCTTAATTCCTGTAAGAGTACCCGCCGTCTCTGAATATCTGCACAGGCTGTAGACCCTTCCTCTTTCAGCTTCTCCAACACACAGGCTTTGTCTTTTTCCATCTGCTGCCACTTCCTTTCTTCCATGTATAAATCTTTGGCTTTCTAGAAGTAAAAAAAAATGGGGGGAATGATATATTAGGTCATAGAAGTGCCTTACCAATATGACATCTTTCAGATGCATTTAGTTACAATATCCATCATCACTAATCAACGTGGTTATCACCACCAGCTTGGGAAATGCTGGAGTCAATGAACCAAAATACAAATTGCAACCAAAATTGGCTTTTGTTTGATCTGAGCCTCTTCTGATTCCTGCCCCCCATTCAACACACCTTAAAAAAAAGTGATTCTCACATTTTAAGCTCAGCCAGCTCTTCACTTCTCAATTAATTTTGCTTTATTTCCCTATTATTATCCTTTAGCTTCAGTTTAGCAGGGCATTCATCCTGTTGTTACAGTGGATGTAAACCCATTAAAAGATTTTTACACTTTTCTGTTTCACTACTAGTTTTCATCTTTTAAACCTACACACAAAAGAAACATCATGAAAATCAAACTCACTCCATTTCTAATCAGGTTGATTTGATGGTGCAAGTAGTGGCACAGTACTTTTCCCCCATAACTTCAATATCCACTAGTATAGATACTGTGCTAGAAACATCACAACGTGGGCTACTGAGTCCTCTGAGATCTTAACTAGTGAGTGAAGGCTTCCTTGCCTCAAGGTCTGATTCTATTGCTCCCTAGAATTGTGCATTCAAATACAGTACTAACAGATTTCTTCGTCATGAATGAAGTTCATCTACAGATAAAATATCTGAATAATGTCCCAATGTCCAGTGAAACAGGCACTGTAAAAACACATGCATTTCATGCTTCTTAGAAGGAACAGAGCTTAAATGCCAGACAGTCAATGGTGAAGGGCTAATGGGAGATACAGTCCAAAATATAGAGGAGGTGTCTGATTGGGAAAGGCTATTGCTTCTCCAGGAATGGTGGAAGGTATTACCAAAACCAGAGACTGGATCTTTACTTTTGTTTTCTAAACTACAGCCCCCAAAATTCCTCTGACACCATTCCTTCAATACATAAAACAAACAAATGATCTTGGATATTGTGACCATATTGTGGGTGGGCTGCTTATTTTTCAGCAGCAACATTTTAAAAAGTTTTTAAAAAGTTTTAAACAGATAATATGGTCTAAAAGGCACCTTAAACGGTGGATCTGTATGAGGTATGCACACACAAATCACACGCACACACAAAATACACTTGCTAATAATTCTGTAATTGCCTTGCTGTGATGTAGACATTCTGGATGGAAATCAACCACAAAAGGGATCTGTCATTCATTGGTAAATTTATAGATCTGAAGGAAAAGATGTTCCCTTGAACAGAAAGTACTTCTTTTGATAGTAGAATTCAAGATAATCGGAAGATCTCCTCTGAGGAGCAAGTTTCTTCAGATCACTTTTTTTTTTTTTAAATAATTTTCTTCAGTGTTACAAATGTGTCTGATTCTAACAACTAAGCTATATTTAATATTCCTCTTTATGTGTTCTGGTTTGCATGTGTTAGGTTAGCCCTTAATCGGACACACCAAAGTCTTCAAGAAATGTCACAGAGGTATGAGGGATGGAATTTTCAGCTTCTCTGAACTGCAAATATCATAATTCTATTTTGACAGTTCCATCTGCTTTGCCAGCACCTTTCAAATACCTGAACGTGGTGCACTTGGGAGAAAGGTTTTGAGGCTTAACTTGTCGTTGTTTAGTCGTTTCGTCATGTCCAACTCTTTGTGACCCCATAGACCAGAGCACGCCAGGCCCTTCTATCTTCCACAGCCTCCCGGAGTTGGGCCAAATTCATGTTGGTCGCTTCGATGACACTATCTCATCCTCTGTCGTCCCCTTCTCCTCTTGCCTTCACCCTTTCCCAACATCAGGGTCTTTTCCAGAGAGTCTTCTCTTCTCATGAGATGGCCAAAGTATTGGAGCCTCAGCTTCAGGATCTGTCCTTCCAGTGAGCACCCAGGGTTGATTTCCTTCAGAATGGATTGGTTTGTTCTCCTTGCAGTCCAGGGGACTCTCAAGAGTCTCCTCCAGCACCACAATTCAAAGCCATCAATTCTTCGGCGGTCTGCTTTCTTTATGGTCCAGCTCTCACTTCTATACATTGCTAGTGGGAAAACCTTAGTTTTGACTATGCTGACCTTGGTCGGCAAGGTGATGTCTCTTTGAGGCTTAACTAGGCTAAGCGCTACCCCAAGTGTCCTGTTCTGGCCCCAGTGCTAGCTAGCTGGGACACTGCCTTCGGAGCAAGGCACTTGGGCAGAGCCTTGGTACCTAGCAGGAGTCAATGTTGGATGTGCCGACTCCACTGAATGAAGGCACAATGGCTGGAAGACCCAGGCAAGTATCCTGCAATGTTTCTTTCCTACAATCCTGTGAAATACAGGCCCGACTGCTCTGTGCTTATGAGTGAGGTTGTCCCTTCTCTGGGGAGATAAGGCAGATGTAGAAACCCTTTCCTCAGATTCCTTTATGGATTCAAACTGTATCAACTGCCAAACTATGCAATGGTTGGGGAAGCCTGCCACCTAATGAAGGAAGATGGTACTGCATGCTTTAAAAACATATATTCTAAGGTCAGTAATATGCTTTTAAAAACTGAATGACACTGGAGATCACTCAACAGGCACGTCATGTTTCATGATTTTGAACTTATCACTCTGATATACATACTCTTGTTGTTGCAGATTTATACACTGTTGTTGGGGCCCAAATGGTGCTTTTGAGTCGCCTTGTAATGACATCTCCCCCAGTCTTCCAAGTGTGGCAGCAGGTCATTAATTGCTCAAAGTAAATCTGCAAAGCTCTTAACTTTCTTGGGCTCTTACCTGTAAAGCGTTATAATTCATCTGGAAACGAAGGATAGCTTCCCATAAATTCCAAAAGGAATACTCGGGCCACAACACAGGCTGGAACACCAGACAAGAATAGGATGTCTGCAGAAATGAGGATGAAAAGGAACTTAATGCACAGGCTGTGGGAAAAGGGATGTGACAGAATGAAATGAAAATGCTACTGAATTACTCTATAACATATCTATAAAACCTGTCTAATTCATTCCTAGGTTGTCTGGAGCTCTAAAGCCAAAAGGCACTGGCGAGGAGGAAGCAGTCCCTGTTTCTCAGGAAAAGCATGAAGGCAAGGGAAAATAAATCTGCTCCCTAACTATTGGCAAATGAAGGAACCATCCCTGCCAGAAGGAATTACTCTAACACTGGGATTCTGGAGACAGTATCCTGCAGCTCAAGTTGCTACTGAAAGCACCCCCACTTCCCTTCTAAAGGTATTTAGTGGAAGACGCAGAAGAGGAACTAAACAGCAGGCCAAGAGCATATGGGGGTCACCTTGGGTCCTTTTAAAGGAGAAAGACAGGATAAAGATATTTTATATAAATAAATAAATATGCCAAAGTATATACGGTCTTGGAGACCAGCTCCCCTGCCATTTGCAACTATTCTAGCAGCAAAAATGTCGGCTCTGCTCTCTTTCCTTGCAAGAGGGCCCTGAACAGCTTTGTGCCTTCCCTAAATTTAGTAAGCTGAAGGCTAGGAGAGATTGAGGGACCACAATTCCCACAATCCCCACTAGTTAGCAGCTTGCTAAGGGATTCTGGGAAGTGTAAGTTCCAACAGGATGGCTAAAAGGCACTGGAGATAGGCAGGGAAAAAAAGAAAGAAAAACATTTCCCCAAGTGCAAATGTTTACTGTTCAGCAGTGCTTAGTGCATCTTGGAAAAACATGCTTTCCTCTGTTAGAAGCAATTATAATTAGAAATACACATACAGTGGTGCTCTGCTTGATGACAATAATCCGTTCCAGGAAAATCGCTGTTAAGTGAAATAGTCATCAAGCGGAAAAAAACCCCATTGGAATGTATTGAAAACCGGCTAATGTGTTCCAATGGGGAAATACCTCATTGTCCAGCGAAGATCACCCTTAGAGAACCGCCGATCAGCTGTTTAAAATCACTGTCTTCCGAAGCAGGGGTCCGGAAAGGAGCCATTTTGTGAAGGGAGGGAAGCCATTTTGCGGAACCGGAAAAAGCGTCGTTTAGTGAACAAACAGTTCGCAAAGCAGGCTCCTAATCAATGTCAAGTGAAAAACCCCCACTGGAACCATCGTTTTGCGATCGCAATAGCAATTGCAAAAAACTCATCGTAAAGCGATTTCATCATCTAACGGGATCATCGTCAAGCGGGGCACCACTGTACAGCATTTTAGTGTGACTACTATAGAAAGCTGAAACTGCAACTGTAATTAAAACCAAGTGGAATTCCATGAAATACTTTAAAAGAATACATGTAAAATGGACAGACTATGATACGGCTGGGAAGTGGCTAGTTAGAGAAGGCAGGAACCTGCAATACAGCTTCTCATTGCCTGGGATAAGCAAATTGCGTATGTAAAACATGGAAGGGAGCAAAGATTACTGGGGATATAATTTTAATTCTGCACAGTCTTTCTGCGTGAATTGGCACAAAACACCATAATATCCTTGCTCATTCCACCCACCATATAGATATAGTTGCAAGCAAAATTATCCAAGCCCCATTGCAATCCGGTTTATTGTCGAAATTTAGATTTTAGCTGTTTGCAATGAACAAATCAAACAAAAGCAATTGAAATAGATGGATGCCACTTTAATATAAAAGTATGGAAATTCTATTGAACACACACGAATTGTATTTGCATGTTCTGTTGGAACATTCTTTTCAAAACAGATTGAGAAAAGCAGCCTTGTATTTCAGAGGCTCGGTAGCAACTGGTGTAGAAAAGGCAAGGCAGGTGAACATCGACATGTGGGGAAAGTGTCAAAATGTCCCCTGAGTAACTATAGTGTAAAACAGAGAAGGCTCCATTGTTCCACTTCTAAGTTGGCCATATTGCGCCTTCCCTGTATACATTTCCATTCTTTCTTTGCCATTTTGCCACTGTTTCAGTGGCTGAAATGTGTTGCTTAGCATAAACCAAACTTTCAGGTAACAAAGTATCCGTGCTGTGACTCTTGGGGCACACATGTGCACAAAGCCAGTGCATACATATGCTCCTAAGAACCGTGGCGGGAACAGAATATTTAAAGGGAGGAATGAACCAAACATTTAAATTTGGCTTATGGACATTGCCCAGAGTGATTAATGGCTCTTCTGTTACCCTCAGGTAGAAAGAGCAATCCTACATACTGTATATTTACTCATTTAGCAACACCCTGTCCCAGGGTTCAGTGGCACTAAGCTCTTTTAAGTATGTTTAAGATTACTTCTGTAGTCTAGTATGCCATTTACAGTGGTGCCCCACTAGACGATGACCTCGCAAAACGACGAATCCGCGTGACGATGACTATTTGCGATCGCTATAGTGCTTCACAAAACAGTGTTTCCTCTGGGCGATTTTCGCTGGACGATGTTTGGGTCCGTGCTTCAGAGACCGTTTTTCGCAAGACAACGATTTTAATAGCTGATCAGCGCTTCACAAAACGGGTGTTTTTGGGACCAATGCTTTGCAAGACAGCGATTTTAACAGCTGATTGGCGCTTCGCAAAATGGCTTCCCTAAGGGTGATTTTCGCAGAACGACGACAATTTTTCCCCATTGGAATGCATTAAATGGATTTCAATGCATTCCAATTGGGAAACGCTTTTCGCAAGACGATGTTTTCACAAGACAGCAATTTCAATGGAACAAATTAACATCGTCTTGCGGGGCACTACTGTACTTACCCCAGCCTTCCTCAACTTAAGTATCCCTGACATATCCCATCTTTCTTGATCAGTATGTCAAGGGATAATGGGATTTCTTGTCTAACATGTTTTGAGGGCATCAAGATGGGAAGGCTGCTTTTATCTTGGCTAAAAACTGGAGCTTCAACTCGTGCTGGAGTATAATGATTACTCTTGGGATGTATTTTATTAGACTGTCCTGCTGGGGAAGCCAAACTGTTAATTTACACACACCTCTCCAAAAAAGGGGGCCTTAGCAGAGCAGAAAAAGCAGATCCTGCTGTCAGCAGACGGGTTGATATAGTTTGCTTTTACCTGCCAGAGCATGAAATCACTCAGGCGCACCTCTCCAGAAGTTCTTATCAGGATGTCGGGGTGAGGCGATTTGGAGGAGTAAAGGCATTTGTCAATCAGTGACTCGGACACATCACTAAAGGGAAAGAGAGAGACAAGCACTAAAGTTAGGAAGGCCATGCTCAGCTTGGGTGGAAAATTCTGGAGGAATGCATTATGACATACTTAAGTAAACATGGATGCAAAAAGATAATCTCCCACACAAATTGAAAAGGCCACAACTACGAACACTGAATTTGAGCTCAATTCACCTGAAATCTGTGCAATAATGACTGCAATTAATGCCAATTAACTTTCTTTGTGAAATGTTTTAAAATCTGCAAGAAAAGAAACTTAAATATTTTGTTATTAATATTTACTTATTAAGAATATTCTAATTAAGAACAAAAAGAGTTCTAAAATTAGATAGATAGATAGATAGATAGATAGATAGATAGATAGATAGATAGATAGATAGATAGATAGATAGATAGATAGATAGATAGATAGATAGATCTAAAAAATTAAGGAGTCCGTTCTTATCTATCTACAAGCCATATGCTCAACTGGCATTATGGATGGAGCTCAAAAGGAGCCCTGCTGGAAGGCCCGATGCAATTCAGCATCCCACACCACATTTTGTAGCAGTAGGTTTCATAGGTTAATGATGTGCCGGGTGAAGTAGTTCTTCTTTTCCTCTGGCCAAACCTGCCACCAGTCAAATTTTATCCAAGTTGCATTTTGGATGGTGAATCCCAGAAGAATCCTGGGGAATACTGTGCAAAAAAACCAAAACCCTTTCAAAAGAACACTGATGTCCACAGTCCAGGGTATGGGGCAAAGCAGTGGTTCAGACAGGTTACTAACCTGTAACTGTCGTTTTTTAAGTGGTCAGACGTGAATTCACACACGTTGGTTTCTTCTGTGCCTGTGTGAACATCTTCGGAACATTTCAGAGCCTAAAAAGTCCATTAGTCCACATGCCCTCCATTGTACATGTTTCCCACCCTATAAAAAGGTAAAGGCTCCCCTTGACAATTTTTGTCCAGTCGTGTTCGACTCTAGGGGGCGGCGCTCATCCCGCTCTTCAAGCCATAGAGCCAGCATTTTTGTCCAAAGACAATCTTCCGTGGTCACATGCCCAGTGCGACTAGACACGGAACGCTGTTACCTTCCCACCGAGGTGGTCCCTATTTATCTACTTGCATTTGCATGCTTTCGAACTGCTAGGTTGGCGGGAGCTGGGACAAGCGATGGGCGCTCACTCCGTCGCGTGGATTCGATCTTACGACTGCTTGGTCTTCTGACCCTGCAGCACAGGCTTCTGCGGTTTAGCCCGCAGTGCCACCACGTCCCTTTTTCCCCACCCTATAGCTAATCCTAAATTCCTTGAGTCTGCCATTGATAGAAACATATACTTACGTGGCAGGGTAAGGGGAGGAGGGTTATGTGAATTCACAGATGCCCACTCAAAGAACTACAGTTACAGATAAACAACCTGTCCTCTTTCTTTGTAGTCTGTAAATCACGCATATGGGTGACTAGTGAGCTCATTTAAAGGGTGGTGGGATGTCACACCAAGACAGAAGAAACCACTGTTTTGCCAAAGGTGGCTTCCAGTTTATTTATTTATTTATTTTATTTTACACCTATGGGTGACCGGTGAGCTCACTTAAAGGCTGGTGGGATGTCACACCAAGACAGGAGAAACCACTGTTCTGCCAAAGGTGGCCTCCGGTTTATCTCTGACATCCAGTCTGTAACGCTTGGTGAACATCAAAGGTTGCTGCTTTACAACTTGTTGCTGCTTTGCAACTATTTCTCAACTGAACTCCTTTGAGAAATGCTGTAGAAAAAGCGACTGCCCAAGATGAGTGCCCCTTCAACAATGCGAGCACTAGCCTATTTGCTATCTGGTATGCCCCAGATGTTCTTGGACTACAACTCCCAGAAATCCTGGCCAGCACAGCGAGTGGTGAAGGCTTCTGGGAGTTTTAGTCCAAGAACATTTGGGAACCTAAGGTTGGGAACCATTTGGTTTAGATAATCATTATGAGCTGATGTGCTCACCTTTCATAGATTCTGGCAACTTACGAACAGTCTAGAAGACTTTCAGAACTGTTTGGTATATAATAATATATATAGAGAGATGTAAAAGATTTTGTCGAGGCCTTTGATTTTGATCAGGCCTTGGTGCTGGTGTTACTGTGGCTGGCTGCTCTTGGGACTTTGAGATTTCAGAAACTGTGTTTAAGTCTTTGGTATGGAAAACCTGAAGCATTGTGGAGTTGGTTTATGTTAGTGCTTAGACAAAAGAACTGGAGACCTTGAAGCTGACTGGGAATGTGAACAATTGGTGTCATGAGATAGCTGGTAAGATTTTTTTTGGTTTGCACTGTGTTGTAGCCAGGATCTATGTGTGTACTTTGGTACAGATGGCCCGAAACCGACGGAGAACAAAAGTGGTCAGCATGGCAAGATATACAACAAGGTCTCTTAGGTCACTGGTTCTTAACCTTGAGTTACTCAGGAGTTTTGGACTGCAACTCCCAGAAGCCTTCACTACCAACTGTGCTGGCTGGGGTTTCTGGGAGTTGCAGTTCAAAAACATCCGAGTAACAAAGGTTAAGAACCACTGTCTTAGGTTCTGGTGATTTTGAATCTGAAGCTCTGTGAGAGTTGCTTTGGTCCAGGTATCCTCTGCTTTGATTCACTCAACCTTGATTCTGAGGTCCTTTTGCCATGATACCAATGGGCATAAGACAATGATATCGACCAATACATAGGCAAGCCACAGTATGAAAGAACACATTTTCCATGTGCCTCTTGATAATCATCGAGAATGGCAATAGAAAATGGCACTCTGGTCCTGCATAGAACTGTGCCATAGCATCAAAACGGTACGATGCAAAATGCATTGCCTCCTTAGTTAGTACTTGGGAATAATGTGACTTCTAGTGTCTCTTACAGGGCGAAGACCCCTCCTCCTTCAGTGTGGCAACAAAATCTGAAGAGGGATGATATTTCTCATGATGTGGAGATGATTACCTGCTTTGTGCAACCAATGAGCTTGCACGGAGTGGGGAAAGCTTCCTTAAGATTCCTCCGAGTGAGTTACTGGGGAGTAACTCAAGGATGGCAAACAGGCACAGACTTGAGACACCCTATCCTCATCAATGGACCTGAGACATACCAGGTCCTCAAGCTCTTGGCTTTTCTAGCCACAAGGAGAACGGTGATGCCGGTGTCTGGTGATTCTTAGAGTTATTTAGTTTTTTAAAAAAATTACGGTATTTTATTTTTGTCTCTTTTGGCCTGACCGATATCCAAACCAATAGATTTCTTCTTCTTCTTCTGTCCAGAAGGCAAAACTGATTTAGGCACCAATGTTACAGGTCTATCTTTGACACTGGGGGTTTGCTGACTGCCGTGTAGGCTCCACAGTCTGTGATGGCTAAAACCATCTGAGGGTTTTGCCAAGGTTGACTCCAACTGGACTGCCGGCATAAGTGTCTGCTTAGATAAAAAATTTTGTGCAGATAGAAATTGCCAGTACTGAAGTGGCCTAACTCCACTGATATCAACCGCTTGTAGAGATTTTACCCAGAGATAAAATTTCAGCCAAGATTGTCTGTTACTTATGACTTCTTTGGTAAATTTCTGACAGATTTAACAATTCTGAGTTTGGTGCCCCTTACTAAGGCGACAAAGGCACTTAAGAGTCTCCATCAGTGAGAGGGATTTCGCTGGAGCACTTCTTCTGCTAGAACCATAAAAGGCTGGAAGGCTGTACGCAACACAATGAGTAACGAATATTAACTTCTCTCTCTTTAGATAGAAGAAAAACGTGGAGAAGGATGAAGGGGAAACAGACCAACCGTAAGAACTATTTACACACTGAGTATTGAAGAACAACGGCTCTAGAAACACTCTCAAGGTGCTACGTTAGCAGTGGTTCAAAGGGAACTGAGCATTAGTTACAGAGTGCAGAGGATGTTCAGTGGAGAGGGTGTGGACTAACAAATTTTTTAGGCTCTGGACTGTTCGGAAGGTATCCTTGCAGGCTCGGAAGGAACCTATATGTGTGATTCACAGAGACCATGAAGAAGAAACACAGAATTAAAGAACAGCACGCTCCTTAATACTTGCTCCACCCAGGAATTGTAATCGCACCCAGTTCATCAGCAAATTTAGCTTTTGACTGGAAGGGCGGGACACTGAATTTCCTAAATAAATACAATGCTTGCTGTCAGCCTAACAGAAACATGCAAATATACCTGGGCATTTTTTCTCTTCATTCCAGCCGAGCTGCGATCGATAGGGATGAGATTTTTCAGAATTAACAACCCTCCAGTCCCACCATTCAGCAGGAAACCCCCAGGACAAAATGTGGGACCAGGAGCCCTGAACACAGCAGGAGGTAGAGCAGGCCTCTTACCTCCATTACATTCCTGTGCTGCTGCTTCAAACTGTAGGAAAATTGTCCTATTACAGTGTGGGAGTCACAAGAAATTCCCGAGACTCGCAAAGGAGCATGTGGGAACAAGTTTTGATTGAGGATGTCTCCAAAGACAGTGTATTGGAAACTAGTTTCCCCCATACAACTTTGCAAATCACAGGGAATTGTCATGACTCTCACAATAGGGAAGGGTGCTTTCCCACTGGTTTGAAGAAGCAGCTTGGAAGGGAGTTCTGCTTAATTATGGGACTAGGAGCTTGTTAATTCTGAAAATCCCATACCTAGTGACAGGTGTTGACAACTAAGATGTTATCATTTGTCTTCTCTATGCCAACTAGAGATGATGAGTGTTGTAGTCAAACATGCATTCACAGCAAAAGATTGAGAAAAGCTAAAGGAAGCTGAGGCTCCAATCCTTTGGCCATCTCATGAGAAAAGAAGACTCCCTGGAAAAGACCCTGACGTTGGGGAAAGTGTGAGGGCAAGAGGAGAAGGGGACGACAGAGGACAAGATGGTTGGACAGTGTCACTGAAGCGACCAACATGAATTTGACCCAACTCCGGGAGGCAGTGGAAGACAGGAGAGCCTGGCGTGCTCTAGTCCATGGGGTCACAAAGAGTTGGACATGACTTAACGACTAAACAGCAACAACAATTCTATTATTGCACACTACTGTGTTAGTTCTCTAGTTGCAGGGTTTTTTCCCCTAGTGAGTTCTTCCTGGGTAACTTTCTCTTTTGAAAGATAAAGGCAGCATGCATTGAACAGGAACTGGGATGACCCACGTGCAAAGCCCCTTGCCTCCTATGCTCTGTATCTGATTCTCCAAGAGCCACTGATGTTTCTCTGCTCAAATGCCTGTTTTGGTACTTAAGGAAGATATGGGTAGCTTAGATTTATTGATTGAACTCTGGGTAACTTGCTACGAATCCACAAGAAGTTTCGAATCTCATCCAGTATTTCTTTTTTAAGACAACAGCAACAACTAAATAACTCTTCACCATCTAGTACAGTTGGAATCAACAATGGTCATGGGCAATCAGAAACAGACTTTGTGTGAAAAAGCTGTGATTCCGCCTGGGATCTGGTACTCAGAACAAATTATTGTGCTCATCAGTTGCTCAGAGGTACCAGTGCTTAAATTTCAATCAAATGCTGTGCTCGACTCCAGTTGGTGGAATTCGGTGTTTGAGCAAGACACAAGGCTCCAAGGCTGAAGTCTGGCCTTTCTTGCTTGAAGAATTGAAGAAACAGACTTTTAAACTCTTCAATAACTGCTCTGAAAAAGGGAGGGCACGGCTCCATTCCTGACATTAAGGGCCAGTCAAAGAGTACTGAGAATAGAACTATGCACTGAAGGTGGGCATGGAAGGATATCGGTTTTACAACAGAGGGAAAGACTAGCAAGCCAAGACAGTGCAAAAATCTGGTGTCTCTTGCAACTCACAAGAACTAAACTCCATTTGGGAGTGAAGGCAGTACCTAGGCTTAAGGTGCCATGAATGCACAGCTGGTTCCACATCTGATAATGCATATCATCCAAACACACCCACAATATTACCTGGGTTGAAGCAACCCTTCTTCCACGCCCCAAGCCAATTCTTTCACTGCATCACTCATTTCTTGCCTCGATGTGTAGGCAAAGGCAATGTTCAAAAAACACCTTGAACAAGACAATTAGAGAGACAGAAATTATCCTTTGGGTATCTGCATTGACGGAAAGGCAGGAAATTCATCAGTACATCAATGCACGTTGTGAATAAAGTGAGAAATTAGTTCCATTTTCTTATGCCCAGAGGAACAGCAGCTTCAAAGGACCTGCTTTCCCCCTTCTCTACCAGCAAGAACATGCGCTACAACCCAAATTTAATGCCCGAGTTATTTTCCTCCCAACGAGCACATTTCTCCTCACCTATTTTCCTTTTGTGCCATGTGTCTTAGTTCCTAAATTTGAACAGAGGGCTAGTTTTATTATTAAGCTTGATAAACTACTTTTCAGGCTAGAGGCATAAAATGCCTTTGCTCAGGAGCAGGCGAGAGTGCAGCTTGTGACTCACAGGCAGCTGCCCTGCAGTAACTTCAATCCCCCCCATCTTGGCTTTTCTAACTTAAAATGTCTCTCCTTGCACCCTCTAAAGGGTGTGAAGGACAATCTTACAGTGTTCTGACTCTGTTTTAGGTGCAGAAAAGGCTTTTATTTGTTTCAAAACCAGTAGGGATGGGAGGTCACTTCCAATGTTGAAAACCAGCTCTCTTTGGATATAAAGCAGGCTACTGAAGGTTAAAAATAGCAAGACAGATGTTGAAGGAAAAATGAGTAGAGATGGGAATGAACCACAATTCCATAGTTTACTATAGTTCCGGGGTTTGGCTGTACCACTGTTTTGTGGGCAGCCCCTAGCTTCCCTTGCCACGCTTCCTCTGATGGACACCCATTCAGAGGCAGCACCCGGAGGAAGTGGGGTCGGGAAGCTGTCTCCAAGTGGGCGGTTGCTGGAGGAGGCAGGGCTGGGAAGCTGGGGCACCCGCAGAACAGCAGTGTGGCCAAACCGTGAGTTCAAGCCCATCTCTAAAAATGAATTATAACAGGACTCACATGTTGTAGTGCTTTGTTGCCAGCACAACCTTGGCTATTTGTTCCTGGATATCTCGTGGCAGGAGTGGCAGATCCCCAATGATTCGAACGCATACACCATGTTTCTCCAAGTTTTCCCTACAAAGGGCAAAAAAGAGAAACGCGTGGCTCAACTAAATAGATGGGCCAGAAATGTGTCGCTTGTCTGGTGTCGACTCCAACTGCACAACTTTCTATGGCAAATAACTGCTGGTTAAGTCAAGACTCGTTTATCTTGTCACATGGAAGTCACATGACTTGTGAGCGGCAATTCATTGGCAAAATGTACGATATTAGAATGGTGTGAGTATGTAGCAGGATTCCAGCCATGGATGAGCATCATTCGAAGAATGCCAACATGTACCTGGGATTCACGAAACCAGGTTAATTGACTCAGAGTAATCTGCAAAGATGTTTTCCAGAGACATTACATGCATCTTTGAATAGGAGATGTTTGGGATAGGAGGGTGTCACAAGGGTTCATGTGCAGCACGAATTGGGAGCATTACCACCAGAAAGGAGGCAAGGCAACAACTCCTGCAACCATGAATTCATTCAAAGTGCACTACAGTTCACCAAATAACAAAACAAAATGCGTACTTCAAAAACTTAAACTATTGCTATGGAGACAATTCAGTTACTTAGGCTGCAGTAACCCACTGAATATAGCGGGAGTTTCTTCTTAGCTATTAATGAAAACTATATGTAGATAAAAGAATAGTAACCTGAAATTAATGTAGAACAATAATGTAGACTCTGCAGAACAAAGAAAGCCAGCTGTATTTACAGTTAGTTCTTTTAATTTAGCCCAGGACAAGAACAGATGTCCGGTTTTGCTGTCTCCAAGGGAGCTACAGTTATGCAACTTTTCCAAGTCCTGCACAGGGTGGGGACAGACATGCACAAGGCTGGTATAGACAAAAAGGGCCTTACTGTTCTTCTAGAAGGCGAGTAAATTTTTGTCTTGCCAGTTCCATGAGGCCTTCCACTTCTTCCTGAGAACGCTTGAAATTCTCAATACTGAAGGCGTAAACTGTGACTTCCCGGACACCTAGACTCAAACACCATTGGAGGGTCTGTAAAAAAGGGGAAAGCTGCTATAAGTGAATAGAGTAATAGGTTAGTTTTTTACTGATGAATTCTGGGCTGCTATAAGTAAAGGTAAAAGGTAAATATCACTGATGGCCTTCAAAATTACTGGGATACATGTTCTTTTGATAAAAGAATCATTTCCTAGAATGGACCTGTTCAGGTACATTTTTCTACATGCTTTTTAGGAAAAGTTTGCTTCTTCCATCTGCCCCATCTGCTTTCAATATCTCAATCGTGTTAAGTTCAGTCACTTAATGATACTGGGAAAGCAAAGGAAGTTCTTAATTTCCCAATATCATTAGGTGGTTAAGATCAGCAATACTGGGAATCTGAAACCAGATGGGAAATTTAAAGCAGTGGTCCTCGTGGCGCAGTGGTTAAAATGCTGTACTGCAGCCAAAACTGTGCTCATGACCTGGGGTTCAATCCCAGGTAGCCAGCTCAAGGTTGACTCAGCCTTCTATCCTTCCGAGGTCGGTAAAATGAGTACCCAGCTTGTTGGGGGGGGGCAATGTGTAGCCTGCATAATTAACTTGTAAACCGCCCAGAGAGCACTTGAAGCACTATGGGGCAGTATATAAGCAGCATGCTTTGCTTTTGCTTTGCTTTGGTTAGATCCCAGTGATTGCCAGAAATGAACCAAAATGGAGTGATCCAACTAAAAAACAGCAAGTCCTGACAGGAAGCCAGAAGGATGTGGGTAGGAACAGTCTGGTCTGCACTGCCACTTATGTCACCTGGTCACCAACAAAAGGAGTGAACCAGCTGATCTCCACAGCAGATGAAACAGCAGGACAAATGCCCGTGCAGCCATATTTTCTCTGTTGTACCACATCAATTGTGCTCATCTAAGATGTCTTTATGTTATGTTATTTATCTGGACTGTACCTGTGCCAGCTTTGCAAATCCCTGTGAATGTCCTTCCAGTTTCTTCACTTTATGCTTTTGGGCATAGCGGCGGTTGCCATCCATGATGAATGCAATGTGCCTGGGCATTGGTCCTGCCTGCACATAAAGAAAGGAAAAAGAGAGCCTGAAGAACCATGGAATGAGAGTCAGCCTGATTTCACACCAGACCTGTAACACGGGCTCACGTTTGCGCACATTAAGGACTATCCACTGTGGAAAAGCTTATACAGTGGTGCCCTGCATAGTGATGATAATCCGTGCCAAAAAAATCATCGCTATCCGGATTCATCGCTATGCGGGGGGAAAAAACCATAGGAACGCATTAAAACATGTTTAATGCGTTCCTATGGGGGGAAACTCACCGCTATGTGGGAATCCTCCATCCGGCAGCCATTTTCGCTGCCCGGTAAGCGAGGGCAGGGCGCGAAAACGGAGTGGGCGGCCATTTTTTCCTTCCGTCGGCCATTTTGGAACCGCTGATCAATGCGAGTTTTTGCCATTGGGACGTCGTTATGCGATCGCTTTTGCGATCGCAAAATCCGCATCGCTATGCGGATTCGTTGTTAAATGGTGCGCTCGTTAAGCGACGCACCACTGTACTCGTCTGGCATGTTCTAGTGGCTTTAGACTACAACTCCCACAAACCACAGACAGCATGGAAAGCTTTGGCTGGCAAGGTGACAGGAGTTCCAATCCTGGCATGTTCTAATGGCTTTAGACTACGACTCCCACAAACAGCATGGAAAGCATTGGCTGGCAAGGTGACAGGAGTTCCAATCTAAAGTATCTGGTGAACACCACATTACAGGACGGTGCTGCACAACAAGAATTGCAGGCAAGGAAAAGCATAGCGAAGAGAAAGAGAGCAACAGAGCCTTTAACTCTTGGAAAAAATGATACCTCCTTTAAAACCAGAGATGGGCAAAAGCGTGTCATCCCAGCTGTTGTTGGGCTGCACATCCCAAAGATCCTTCATTGCTGGGTATGAAGGCTAGGGCTGATGGGAGCTGCAGTTTAACAACTGGTGGAAAGCCACATGGTCTTCACTTTCTTTGGCATAATCACCGTTTAGTCAGAAACAAAACTATAGAAAGCTAAAGGCGGTTTTGAACATTACCCTGCCAGGTATAAAAACTACTATGGATTTGTAGTCTGCCAAGTCAACACCCCAGGATGTCAGACACTACCGTTTCTTGGAGCCTGGGAAAGTTTTTCTTTCTTTCTTTCTTTCTTTATGTCAGATACTATCGTTTCTTGGAGCTTGGGAAAGTTTCTTTCTTTCTTTTTTTTTTTGGACTACAACTCCTAAAATTCCCCCGTGGCTTCCCACGGTGGGGGATCCTCAGCACTGTACACCGCAGAAGGCATTTCCCCTAAGCTCTGAACGGGAGGCAGAAGTCAAGGGGCTTCTACAGAGAATGACATGACAGAAATCAAGCTACACTCATTGGAGCCTTCATCCGCTGTCTTTTATAATGTGAGTGGCAGGGATTGCAGGATCAGGCCTGAATCCCACGGTGCACTTAGCAGGACTCTTATTTAATTCTGAAACACACTGTATTGTGTTTTTTTGAAGAAATTAATAAAATACAGGAGTTAAATGTAGAGTTTATCCTGAGAACTGCGCTGGTATCAGTCTTTGATAAAGAACAATGGAAATGGGCAGTTAAATAATTGACAACAAACTTAGTTTGTGCAGCAAGATTAATAATTATAACTAAAAATTGGAAATTAAAGCATGAATTTCCATTAAATGAATGTTATAAAGAAGTATGGAATATTGTTATCAATGATAAACTAACTTATGATATTAAGTTTTAAAAGGGTTTGACAAACAAATACCTTTAGAGATATTTGGGGAGCTTTTATTGACTATGCATTACTTAAAGGGAAGGGTCATGTAACCTCAAAAGAATCAATGCAGTTTTGGAAGAAGCAAAAAAGCCTCTCAGGGAAAAAAAACACAAGAAAAAAATGAGGACAACAAAAACATTGTGGCAACTTAAAGACTAACGTTTTGGAAGAAGCAAAAAAGCCTCTCAAGAAAAAAAAAACATAAGAAAAAGAAAAAATGAGGAAAGCAAAAGCATTGTGGCAACTTAAAGACTAACCTATATTTAAATGTGAGCTTTTGTGTACAAGCCTACTTCCTCAGGACCTTGTTGAAATTCCCCCATAAAATCTATGTACATGGTCCCACCGTACTAACATGCATCCGAAAGCATTAAACTCAAACACCTTAAGAGAGTCAGTTTAAGAGGCCGCTTACCTTTATTACGCTGGCACAGAATTTCTCAAAAAGGGACAGTTCTCCTTCTCTTATCCATGACATTTTTTCCCCTACTCAAGTACGCTGCTGGAGATGACAAGAAAAGACAGTCAAACATCATGCAAGAAGAAAAGAAAGAAATCACAGCTTTGTGATTGTGGGGCACAACGATGGCCTGGTTTCATTCTGGAATTAACTTTTAATTCAGACAAAGGGCAGCTGTGATGAACACAGGTTTCTGATTTCCCCCCTAGGTCTATAAAGCTATGTACGGCTCTTAGGGACATGTTCGGGGTGTCAGAATCCCTGGCCTGACATGGCCCTATGACTGCATTGTCTAATCTGACACCTTTCAGATGTGTTGAAGTACAAGTCAGCCAGTTTGGCCACTGACCAGCATGAGAGGTGTGACTAGAATTGTAACTCAACACTTCTGGAGGGGCCAAGGTTGTGGAACAGTGGCCAATGACAATGGTCCTCGGAGCAAGAGTGGCTACAGGAAGGCATGGCTGGAAACCTAGGGCTTTTATAAGTACTAGGACTTCAGCTCTCTTAATCTTTTACCATTGACCACACTGGCTCAGGTGCAACATTTGGAGGGCTAAATATTCCCAATCCATGCACTAAGAAAACATGGACTACTGCTGGGGGCAGGCGGGGGGCTCAGGTTTCTTTGAACTGATCAGAACTTATTTCCCAGAAAATTAAACACCACAAGATCCACAAGACCTCAAGATCCTCAAAATGTGCTGGATGACAACTCTTCTCATTGTTATTAGTATGGCTACTGGCCAAGGTGGCAGCAGAAGTCAAACACGTTTGGGAGACTTGCATGAGGGGAGCAGAACTGGCTTACAGGAAAGAAAACAATATACAGACTATCTTTAGGAGCTAGCTGTATTTGTTGCTTTAATCATTTTTTTTAGCTCCTTGGATTCCAGTATCAGAAGAAAGGTGGGAAAGAAACCAAATAAACAGAAAAGCTGAAATGGAAATACAATATTAATGCTTTGTACAAATTATTTTCTAACATTTTCCACACATCGGCTACCTATTTAATATACTTATGTAATGCTTGCCTGTTTGATGACAATGGCATCAAAGCTACCAACATGAATTTGACCAAACTCTGGGATGCAGTGGAAGAAGGGGGCCTGGCGTGCTCTGGTCCATGGGGCCACGAAGAGTCGGACATGACTTAACGACTAAATAACAACAACAGCAAATGCTTGTCTGTTACAATATCCACTGCAATATATGTGTTTCCATGCAATAAGACATTTGCACATTTTTTTTTACAACTGAGTAATAGTGAAGGGATGCTAACCAGAAAGAACATATGCCTTGAAGCATCTCTTTATCTGGCCCAATGACTGCTACTGCAAATTTCCCTAATGTTACCTATAAAAGATCAACCTAAATACCCATATCCCATGGACATTATCTGCCAGACAATCAAAAGGAAATTTCTCTAATTTTCCCCTCTCTGTCCGATCTCCATAGAATGCTACATCATTTGATGTTGACTACACATATAATATATAACATTATGTATTTTCTATTCTATTGTCTTATTCTGTTTATTACAATATGATTTATGTAAAGGCCCTCTTAAGGACTAAATTTAATACATTTTCATGAGCTAAAGCTTATGTCATAATGCATTTGATATTCCTTAACATCCAAGGCTTTTGATGTTTTCTATTGTAATTGACTGGTCTGGCTACACCTTGGGGATTTCTTACCCACACAACAGCTGACATGCTTCAAGTGAAGCAACAACTTCTTGCAGTGAGAATAGCTTTGCTCACCTCATGAGTAATATTTACACACACCCATTAGCCCCTGTAATTGTAAATGCATGGGTTGTTTGTCAACCATGCCTTTCTGTTTTAACACCTGCGACAATACTCATCTATCTAGGAGAGGGGTGACAAACCTGTAGACCCATCAACTTGACCCACTGTAGTCAATAGCCAAGGGTGATAGGAGCTGGAATTCAACACCTTCTGATGGGTCACAGTTGCCCATCTCTGCTTAACAAAGACTCTTGGAGCAAGTGCCATAAAATGCATTCCCCCCCCTGCCCCCGGACAGCTATATACAGGTTTGCACTGTCAGTTACGCATCATCTCTCCTTGCTGCAATAACATCTACAACAATATTAGCCACATCAGGGAGTGCTTTGCCCCCTCTATTCCTTATCTATTTGTCAAGATAAGCTATAGGTTGATTCTCTGCTCCTAGCAGAGCTGAAGGGAATATTCCTTATCTATTTGTCATGATAAGCTATAGGATTCTCTGCTCCTAGCAGAGCTGAAGGGAGAATTAAATTGGAACAGAGAAGGCTGGAGATATAAGGATCACAAGAGAGCAATCAAAGAGGGAACACAGGACCCCTTTGAACAAGGACTTGCGGTGGTCATAGACCTGTGTTTGTATCAGATTAAAAAATAGCTCACCCTCCAAGAAAAAAACACAAACAAACCCTGTCCACAGAAAAGCAGTCCATCAGGGTAGAGCTTTTAATTTAGCTTTCACAATGAAGGGATTAGAAACATTTTTGTTGCTGTTTCACATACAGGAGCTCCCGCCCCATTCCTTGCACGACAACTCTGAACACATTTAGGAAACTCATTAACATCCACATAGACAATCTGGATGGCCTGAAGAGAAGTGGCAGCACTTCTCAACGGATACCAATAAACTCCTCTGCTCTTTTTAATTGCCTGGGTGGCTGAGAAGAAGACGCACTGCATCCAAAGAGGAAGATGTAATTATCCCCTCTCCTACACAGGAAAGGGGAGAAGGTGAAACCCTACTTTGAAAACAACAAACCAACATGTTATCTTCTATGATACAGCAAAATAAGAGTGGAAGCAAAACTTGAAAAGTGGCCCAGTGTGTAATCGTATGTCTTAAGAGTGGGTTGTAACAATTCCAAACCATGCTACAAGGATGCTTGAGACTCCACTTCTTACAGACACGCAGCATCAATTTTTGGACTCTTGGCTACAGTTTTTCTGCAGTATTCAGAGATACTCATCCTGATGAAGTGGAATTTTCTCCACAAAAACTTGCAATTTGTTGGGGGTTTTTTAGTGGTTCATTTGTTGGGGTTTTTTAGTGGTTCAATAAAATGTATCACCAACTCTTAAATATGTGCTCGCTTGTTGGAACATATACAACCCACAAGAGTTACATGCTTCAATTTATCAATAATCAGTTTTGCAATTTACCGTAAAGATTAATGCATCACCTACAAAACATCCAAAAAGTGACAACTTATGACTTGAAAATGCATGCTCTCCTCAACCCAGTTCTGTAACAGAATTTAATGTGAAGCCTATGTATTAGCAGCACCCACCACAATATATACACATATACACACACAACCCAGAAAAGTCATGGTGAAATGAATGGGTTTTACTCCCAGATAGGAATACCTCAGATTTCCTCTGCACACTTGTGCTCCCAGACTTTGGAACTCCCTCCCACTGGACACCAGACTGACCCCATCTGCCCTTATCTTCAGGGATGTTTTCCCTCAGTGACAGGCTCTGGATGGGATGTTTAAAATGAACTGTGTCTTGTTTGCTGCTTCAAAAATTTTTTAGTGCTTTAGTTTACCATTTCTCACAGTGTTATTTCTTTAACCCTTTAAAGTATTTGTATACTTATTGTTTTTTTCAGCTTTACATACTGTCTTTAAAGATGCAAACCACCTTTGCATACTCATTGTTTTTAGTTTCACATATTATCTTTTAATGATGTAAGCTGCCTTGGCTTCTTTTTAACGAGAAATGCAGAGTCAAAAGATTTTAATTAATAAACCTAACTAGCTAAGTAAATAAATAAATGCAAACTGCACTCAATAATCGAATTCTGATTGGACATGCAGGACTGTCCAGTTAACCTGTCTTGGGCAGGTGCGTATGTTTAGCCTGCACTTTTCACATACGATTCCTTCAGAAAGCTCCCCCCCCCCGCTTTATACTGTACACTTATCTGGGGGTGAGCCCCACTGAACTGAATAAGATGCCAGGAGGAGACATAAGTATCAACCACTAAGAAAGAAAGACTAGCTCAATGAATGCAGTGGTTCTTTCTAAAAATAAACACCAAATATCTGCCACCCATAGCAACCCAGGGCAGAAAAAGCCTGGAAGCAAGGGAAGAAACCCCAAGGGAGCGGCGGGCTGCCTCTCCCGCGGACCCCCTGCCCCCCCTTTCCTACCCTGGGGGGGGAGCGAGACGACAGAGCCCCATTCCCGGACCCCAGCCCAGGGACAGAAGCGACAGCACCTCCCGGTCACGACTCACCGCTTCCTCCCCTGCTTGCCTGCCCGAGCTTCCCCTCTTCCCAGCGGACTTCCTCCTCCGGCAGCTGCCCCAGCTGCTCTGCAAGCGGGTGTGACGTCCGCGCTTCCGTATAGGCCGCCCCGCTCCGCCCCGTCCTCCCAGTGGCGTCAGGCTGGGAGTGCGCTTGCGCGCGCGCAGAGGATAGAGGAGTGGGCGGGGCCAGGGGCGGGGATTCCGAGGGCTGGCCTGGTCAAG